AAAGAAATAGCTATGAGTTTGGTTGACTGGAACAATGGAATTAGCCAAAAATAGGGCTCAAAGTGGGTCAAATCGCCGAGGTTGCTAACTTCGTGAGAGCATAATTCTGTAAGTTTTCCATCAAATTTCGTTCTTTTGGTGTCATTACAATCAGGAAAAGATTCTTTATCATTTCATAACTTTTTTTTTTTTTTTTTCAAAAAAATTTTTGACACCAGAATACACCTCAGGATTTGGGGTTTTGACAGTCAAGGGGTTAACAAGTGCGATCATGTTGTAATACCACACAAAATACGTGCTAAAGCAATAACTGGCCAAGTGGAGAGATGGATCTTTAACTTTCTAACTAATTGAACACAAAGAGTAGTGGTAAATGAGTTAAATTGGAAGCTGCCATAGTGAAAAGCTCTGTTCCATAAGACACAGTACTCGCCTCCATCCTATTCCTCATCTTCATATCAGACATAGAGATGTAATCCACAGCACCATGTCATCCTCTGCAGATGATACTAGGATCTGCATGAGACTGTCGTCTATTGAGGACATTGTTAACCTCCAAGAAGATATAAACCAAGTTTTTCAATGGGCAATGGAAAACAATGTGATGTTCAATGAAGGCAAATTTCAACTACTTCATTATGGAAAACTGGAGGAGATAATAATTAGAACTGAGTATACTACAAACTCTGATCATACAGTAGAGCAAGAATATAATGTGAGGGACCTGGGAGTGATAATGTCTGAGGATCTCGCTTTCAAGGATTACAACAGTGCAACGATCACAACTGTAAAGGAAGTGATAGGATGGATAATGAGAATGTTCAAAACAAGAGATGCCAAGCCAATGATGATCCTCAAGTCACTTGTTCTCTCTAGGCTGGAATAATGCTGTACATTAACATCTCTGTTCAAAGCAGGTGAAATTGCAGATCTAGAGTGTGTACAGAGAACTTTCTACTGCACATATAAGTTTTATCAACACCTCAACTACTGGGAACGCTTGAAAGCACTTGACTTATACTCACTGAAATGCAGGTGAGAGGAATATATCATAATCTACACTTGGAATATCCTAGAAGGAATGGTCCCAAATCTGCACACAGAAATCACTCTTTTCAAAAGTAAAAGACTGGGCAGGTGCTGCAAAATACCCCCTCTGAAAAGTATTATTCAAAGAGCTGAGAAGGGGTTGTTGAGGTGGTTCAGGAATTTGGAAAGGATGAAATAAAATAGAATGACTTGTAGGGTGTATAAATCTGTAGGGGAAGGAAGGCAGGGTAAGGGTTGTCCTAGGAGAGGCTGGAGGAGTAAAGGAGGTTTTGTGTGTGAGAGGCTGAGACTTCCAACAAGCATGCATGAGTGTGCTAGGAGCAAGTGGAGGCAGCTGGTTTTTATGACTTGATGTGTTGTTGAGTGTGAGCAAAGTAACATTTGCGAAGGGATTAAGGGAAACCAGTTAGCTGGACTTGAGTCCTGGAGGTGGAAAGCACCATGTTTTCACCCTGAAGGAGGGGTGGAGTTATGTTGCAGTTATTTTCTTCACTATAGTGTAGGTGTGCTTCTGGCAAGACAGTGATTGAGTGAATGATGATGAATGTGTGTTTTCTTTTTTGGGTCACCCTGCCTTGGCTGGAAATAGTCTGTGTTAATAAAAGATTATGTTCTCTCTTTCTTAACTATTACATAACACATTTCTCTCCATTAAACTTTTGCAAGTTGAATTTATCACAGGCTCTAGATAATTTGTCATAATAAGATAAGCATTTTTATTTGGAAAAAGTTGGTATGATACTGCATTTCTTTATGCTTACCATGCATCTGCATCTACAATATACAAAAGATCCAGTCTGGTAAGTTGCTTAATCTTAAAATGAGGTCTTATCTATTACAATACATAAAATGTTCTGTAGGTCAAAAATCTATTAAAGAAACCTTAGTTTCTATTAACCCGTGAACGGTCCAAGCAGATCTACATTCACATGCGTAGTGCTCCAAAAGTAGATCTACTTTTTTTACATATTTTCAAATATAACAAGAAAAAAAAGTAGATCAAAGTTTTTTTACACGTTTTCAAATGTAAAAAAAAAAAAAAGATGATCTACTTTTTTTACATACTATCAAATGTTGAAGAAACGTATATATACGTTTGGACCGTTTACGGGTTAAAGACCCATTTCAAGGAAAGTGACTTAGTGATGATACTCTTGATCTAAGAAATTTAAGCTACATTTCTCTTCATATGAACAAACTTGATTACCTCACTTTTCCAGACCCTGTATAACTGCTATAGGTCCTGAATGTTTCAGCAAGGAGGAGGCTGGGGGCAGTAGAGATGTCATGTTCAGGGTCAATGTGTGCTGTGAATATTATGCAGAGAATTCAAAGTATGGAGATTAGGGGGTGTGGAGTTTCTAAAAAATTATTCAGGGGGCTGAGGAGGGTTTGTTGAGGTGGTGTGGACAATTAGAAAGGATGGAGAAAAATTGGATGACTAGGAGGGTATATAAATCTGGGGTGTAGGGAAGAGGGGTAGGGGTAATCTTAGGAAGGGGGTAGGGAGGGGGTAAAGGAGGCTTTGAATGCTTAAGGGCTTGGACTTCCAACTGGCTTGTTTGATCGTATTAGATAAGTAGGAGTGGAGGCAAGTGGTTTTTAATGATTTGATGTACTGTTGGAGTAAGAGCAAAGTAACATTTGCACAACTAACCCACATGCAGGAGATTGAAACTGAAACTTATGATGTTTTGACCCAACTTGGACCATTAACTAGTTACACAGAAAAGCATGAAGGGAAGGGCTTCTTTATCTTCATGGGTCTCTACATGATAGGTTAATTTTCCAAGTTAGACCGAAACATTTTCGTAAGTTTGTCTCCTATGTATGGGTTATTGTGTATTGTTCTAGTCACAGTATTGTGCCTTTTTTAATTCTTTAAGGCAACATTTATGAAGGGATTCATGGAAACTGGTTAGGTAGACTTGAGTCCTGAGATGGGAAGTACGGTACCTGGACTCTGAAAGGAGGGTGGGGATGTTGCAGTTTAGGGTGTCATCTGAACTGGGATGTTGATACCCTTCTGGTAAAACAGTGATTGAATGATTGACAGTGAAAAGGTTTTCTTCTTTGTTGTGTTACCCTGCCTAGGTGGGAGACTGCCAGAGTCTTAAAAAACAAAAATTCTCAGCAAGTTCATAACACCTGATTCAAAAAGATAATTTGATCTCTGATTACCCTTACTAATTTCAACCCCTTATATTTACTATCTAGGACAGATAGATATTTAAAAATATTTTTAATATTGCTAGAATGTAGAAGAACAAGATATGTGGTAACACACTTAAGTTGAAATCCTTGCTGTATAAATATTCTTTAAGTAATAAAAAGTTTTAACACTTTCAGGGTCCCCAGGCCATCTCCCAGACTTGTTCTCAGGGTTGTCCAAATTTAAAAAAAAAAATTATTTTTTCTTATGAAAAGATAGAGAATGTTTTCCTGATCATAATGACACCAAAAGTATGAAATTTGATGGAAAACTTACGGAATTATGCTCTCGCGAAGTTAGCGGTCTCGACATTGTTTATGCATTGGCGATTTTGCCCACTTTGAGCCCTATTTTCAGCCAATTCCAGTGTACTAGTCGACAAAATCATAACTATTTTGCTAGAACTCCATTTTTTCTAGCAAATGCATACAAGAAACCACCCATTTACCGATTTCAACTATCCAATAAAGTGGTCAGAATTTAGCAATTTTGCCAATTTCACACAAATTTCAAAAGATGCAAATTTCCAAATAGGGTCCAGAATAAACAAGAAAGACATTCCTGGCACTAAAATAACATTTCCTCTGTTCATTAGTCATGTCCCCATGCCTCTCTTACATTCTTTTGCTTTCCACTTTGAATTTTTATTCTCACAAAAAAATAGAAGATTTACTGTTATGCAGACTACTGCATTAGTGTAGAAATGGTATAAATAATATCAGCACACTTGTGAAAGAATATTAGACTCGCCAGTTGACGTGTATTGGACACTTAGCATGATTTGTTTACTTTTGAACTTTGGTAAAAATCGAACATTTCTGCTACTTTGAGCTCAATTTCAAGGTACTTCTCTTTGTAAAACCAGTCAAAATCATCTCAAATTCTGTAATATGTCTTCCATTCTATAAAATGAGACCAGGAAAACTAGAATACAACAATAAATACCATACGAAAATACAGTGCAAAGTCGCTGTTTTAATCCAAAAATACTGTCAGTTTTTTTTTTCTCATTACGCACTGGTTGCTGCAGGATTTTTTTTATACTGCACACACTGACCACATAAACCCATTCTTTCATATGTAGGCCTACCAGCTTTCTCTCACTAGATTTGAGGGCGCTAGAATTTAGGCGTACTAGTACGTCAAAAACCCTGGTGCGTGAACCATACTAGTATGTCCGAAACCCTGAAAGGGTTAAACTAGTATTGTAACCACAATACATTTTTGCATTCAGCTATACCTCATTTATCAATGTTTATTATAATTAAAAGTCTTGTTCAAATGAATATTTCACTAGCTTCTTACTATGGCCAGTACATAAATTGCAAAACTTCACTCATACATGTGATAATGGTTTTTTATGTTGCTGCTGCTCCAAGCATGAAGGCTTGACAACTGAGATAAACAGTGAACCATACACCTGCCTTTTCTATTTTGTCATATTTTTCTTAAAGAAGAGACTTTTATTTTTGTAGCTAAAAATATTTGTTTTTTTTTTCAGTTTCATCTATATTACATAAATTAACATAGATTCTGTTTTAACAAAAGTATTGTGACTCTAATATTTTAATATTTGTAATGTATGTGAGCTCTAACTTTTTACTGTAACATCCAAGAGATGTATGTATTGTGTGCCTATTATTGGCTTATTAATGCTGTGTGTGCATTTCCGATTTGCTGTACTTTATTAAAAATATGAAGTAATTATTACAGCTGTGTTTTGATTTTTTTTTTTAAGGATCTACAAACGTTCCAGCTCCAAACCGTCTGACAATGTTCGAAAGTAAAATTTACTGGACTGACAGCACTCGACAAGGTGTTATTCGTATAGACAAGTATGATGGGGCTTCTTCAATTCATCAAGTGTATCGCAACCCAGGGAAGACTCAAGACCCCAAGGCTATTAAAGCTGTCCATGGATTAATGCAAACCCCAGGTACTTATTGACCAGTTATAGTCATTTCACATTACAGTGGACCCCCGGTTAACGATATTTTTTCACTCCAGAAGTATGATCAGGTGCCAGTACTGACCGAATTTGTTCCCATAAGAAATATTGTGAAGTAGATTAGTCCATTTCAGACCCCCAAACATACACGTACAAAGGCACTTACATAAATACACTTACATAATTGGTCACATTCGGAGGTAATCGTTATGCGGGGGTCCACTGTATATTAATTGCTGTACGTATATGTACTGTATTTTAGAAAACAGTAAAACTTAAACTCGCTCATATTGCATTTTAAAATATTTTGTGGTAATCTTTAGTTCAATAATTTTAACCCGTATATATATGTTTTTTCAACATTTGAAAGTATGTAAAAAAGTAAATCTTCTTTTTGTTTTTTTACATTTGAAAATGTGTAAAAAACTTTGATCTACTTTTTATTTTGTTATATTTGAAAATATGTAAAAAAAACGTAGATCTACTTTTGTAGCACTACACATGTGAACGTAGATCTACTTGGACCGTTTACGGGTTAAATTTACTGAGTTCTGTAAAAATGATACCACAAGATTTGTGAATGCAGTAGAAGTGAACTATATAAATAAAGTATAAATACAGTATATACATAAATACAATATGCAAATACTGTACAGTATCAAAATCTTTTTCTTTGCATTTTCCTCAGTCTCAGAGAGATCCTTCAAGATTGAAGTACTGATAAAGTGAAACTACAGGACGCATGCCGTCTTTAGTACATTTCTTTGTCTTAGTCTGAATAAGATTCTCTTGGAGAATGATAAAAGTTCTTGGATTATTAGTTCACAGTTCCTCCCTTGGCACATGCCTTAACTGGCAAGCCATCTACATTGGTGTTGCCCTTTGCCTTGCTGTCCATGTCTTCACTGAATAAGAACATAAGAGCATAAGAACATAAGAAAGAAGGAACACTGCAACAGGCCTACTGGCCTATGCAAGGCAGGTCCAATTTTTCTATTGGCTTAAGCTCACTGACCGTCTGACCCCACTGACCTAGTGAGGTCAGACATGTCACTTAAAGGTGGAGCACAGCATCTGACCTAGTAGCACAAGCTGGTTAGGTGCAGCTCACACCCACCCACACCCACTCATGTATTTATCCAACCTATTTTTACAACTACACAACGTCTTAGCTTCTATGACAGTACTCGGGAGTTTGTTCCACTCATCCACATCTCTATTACCAAACCAGTGCTTTCCTATATACTTCCTGAATCTGAATTTTCCCAATTTAAAACCATTGCTGTGAGTCCTGTCTATGTTAGATATTTTTAGCATGCTATTTACATCCCCTTTATTAATTCCTGTTCTCCATTTATATACCTCAATCATATCCCCCTCTAATTCTATGCCTTTCTAGAGAGTGCAGATTCAGGGCCCTCAGTCTATCCTCATAGGGAGGATTTCTGATACGTACATGGGATCAACTTTGTCATCCTCCTTTGTACGTTTTCCAGTGCATTTATATCCATTCTGTAATACAGTGGCTGGAACTGTGCAGCATAATCTAAATGAGGCCTAACCAAAGATATATAGAGTTGAAGAACAACCTGAGGACTTATATTACTTATACTTCTTGCTATGAAGCTAAGGATTCTGTTAGCTTTATTGCGAACACTTATGCACTGTTGTCTTGGTTTCAGATTACTACTAACCAGAACTCCTAAATTCTTTTCGCAATCCATAATATTAAGATCTACATTATTTAGTTTATATATGGCATGGCTATTTTCCTGTCCAACTTTTAGAACTTTGCATTTATCTATATTAAACTGCATCTGTATCTACATCTGCAAATAAATTTTTGCTTAAAAGCTGAATTAACAAAATGAGGTCTGACTATAAATAATAAATTACGTACATGTTTTATTTGACTTTAGTTTCACATGATTGCATTAACATTGCACAGTTGTTTCTGGTGAGTTTCAGGATATTAGCTTATAGGGTTATTTTCTGAAATCATCTGGGTACATTAAAATGTAACTTAAATTTGGTTGGAAATCAGTATATTATGAACACTTACACTTGCAGACATTATCTCATCTAAAATAAGTGGATACAGATGAAAGCTGCAACAAAGCTGAGTCATAGAGATATAAAACTTTTCTTCAACATAAGACCCATAGCTTATGAAAGGTTTTTACAAAGTAGAAGTGATGCAAGGAGGGAGGAGTATATGGAGAGGTTACTAGCCCCTTGCTGGGAGCAAGGGGCTAGTAACCTCTTCTCCTGTATAAATTACTAAATTTAAAAAGAGAAACTTTTGTTTTTCTTTTTGGGCCACCCTGCCTCGATGGGATACGGCCAGTTTGTTGAAACAAGAAGAAATACTACTCATCTCACCCTACATTAAGACTACAAATATTTGAAGGTAAGTAATGAGTGAACTGTATATGCATTATATCACTCTGGGGCACTTTGAATGTCGTATATTACTTGTGGTGGGGTGGGGTGGGGGGTTGCCTGGCCTGGCTTCCATACCTACCACACCTGATTTCTTACAATAAATACTAATCATCTCACCTTAAATTAAAACTACAAATATTTTAAGGTAAGTAATGAGTGAACTATATATGCATTTTATCACTCTGGGGCACTTTAACTCTTGACTGTCACAGCCCCAAATCCTGAGGTGTCTCCTGGTGTCGCAAAATTTCTGAAAAAAAATTGTTTTTTTCTTGTGAAATGATAGAGAATCTTTTTCCGATTGTAACGTCGCCAAAAGAACGAAGTTTGATGGAAAACTGATGGAATTACGCTTTCACAAAGTTAGCGACCTCGGCGATATTTACGAATTGGCGATTTCGCCCACTTTGAACCCTATTTTCAGCTAATTTCATTGTTCTAGTCGATCAAACTCAATGCTATTTCTTTAGAACTTCATTTGTTCTATTGAGTGAGTACAGGAAACTGCCTATTTACCGATTTCAACTACCTAATAACGTGGTCAGAAATTTGCTATTTGGCTAATTTCATGAAAATTAAAAAATAGGCCAATTTCAAAATAGGGTCTAGAATGAACAATGCAGACATTCCTGGCACTAAAATAACATTTTCTTTGTTCATTAGTCATGTCTCCAGGCCCCTCTGATATTACTCTTGCTTTCTATTTTGAATTTTTATTCAAACAAAAAATAGAAGATTTACTGTTATGCAGACTACTGCAATATTGTAATAATTGTATAAATAATGCCAACCCACTTATGACTGCATATTAGAATGGCTACTTGGACATTTATTGGAAAATGACATCATTTGTTTACTTTTGAGCATCGGCAAAAATCAAACATTTCCCTTACTTTGAGCTCCATTTCAAGGTTCTTTCCATAGTAAAACCAATCAAAATCACCTATATTTCTATAATATGTTTTCCATTCTATCAAATGAGACCAAGAAAATGAGAATACAACCATAAATACTATACGAAAATAGACCACAAATTCGGCATTTTAATTAAAAAAACAGTCGGTTTTTTTTTTCATTATGCACTGCGTGCTGCAGGATTTTTTTTGTATGGTGCACACTGACCACACAGACCCATTCTCTCACATGTGGGCCTACCAGCTTTCTCCTGCTTGATTTGAAGCTGCTAGAATTGTTGAGTATTATATATACGTCTGAAACACTGGCTCGTAAGACGTATATACCATGGACCCCCGCCTTACGATATTAATCTGTTCCTGACACCCCAAAGTATGAAAAAAAATATTACTTTTAATACACACAAGCTGAAGAAGACATGCACAATTACTACTCTACTAAGAATAGAATACATGACACTTACCTTTATTGAATATCTGGCGATGATTGATGGGATGGGAGGAGGGGAGAGTGTGGAAGTTATTGTTTAGAAGGGGAATCCCCTTCCATTAGGACTTGAGGTAGCAAGTCCTTTTCCAGGGTTACTTCCCTTCTTCTTTTAATGCCACTAGGACCAGCTTGAGAATCTCTGGACCTCTGTCGCACTACAAATCTGTCCATAGAGCTCTGTACCTTCCGTTCCTTTAAGACTTTCCTATAATGGGCCATAGCATTGTCATTGTACAGGTTGCCAACACGGCTTGCAGTAGCTGTGTCATGGTGATTTTCATCCGTAAAGGTTTGCAGTTCAACCCGCTTTGCACACATTTCCTTAATCTCTTTTTTCAATTCCATACTGATTCTCGCCCTTTTTACCACAGGGATGGCACTAGAAGCTTTCTTGGGGTCCAAGGTGACTTACTTTGCAGTTACAAGCACTAAAAACACTGGGATAATGTGAAATGTACTGCGTAGATGCGACCGCACTGGCTGGCCTGTAAACACTGGTGCTGAGGCCACACGTGGAACGCGTCCCAGACGAATCATGTAAGGCGAGTTTTTTATCGTGAGGCAAGGCAAAATTTTTGCGTTCAAATGCTTCGTACGGTGGATTTAACGTAACACGATGCATTTGTAAGGCGGGGCTCCACTGTATACATCCGAAACAGTCAAAGTGTTAAATGTCATACATTACTTGTGGGAGGGGTGGGGTGGAGGGTTGCCTGGCCTGGCTTTCATACCTACCTCACCTGATTTCTTACAATAAATACTGCTCAGCTCATCCTACATTAAGACTACAAATATTTTAAGGTAAGTAATGAATGTACTATATGTGTATTTTACTTTTTTATTGTTTTTTAATGCCTAGTTCAATTAATAACTTAATATATGTCAGTGTAAACTTGTTATCTAGCATTTACATATATGTATTTATAAAGTTAAAAAAAAAAGAGCGTTCCACTTTATGGTAATTTCTGCTTTACGGTGGTAGCCTAGAACCTAACCTGCCATTAGATTCTAGGCTACATCTGTAAAGCAGAAATTGCTGTAAAGTGGAACACCCTTTTTTCTATTTATAAATGCATATAAATACTAGATAACTTTACACTAATGTGTATTAAGTTAGCAATAGAACTAGGCATTAAAAC